AAACCCCTTCTCTCTCTCCCCCCCAAAAAAAAAATTAAAAATTACATTGATATTTCTTGAAGTTTAAAAAAAATACAATAAATTTCACAATTTTGATATGATTATATTGATCTCTCATTTAATAAGATTATAAGAATTGGAACTATTATAGATGGTGTACAAATACAAAGATAATTAAACAAGATAAAAAATATATTTTATTGTAAAAAATATGACGACACCATTTTTCTATAGGTAAATTACATTGACCTCTCCTTAAGATTGAAGAAAATACAATAAGTCTCACAATTTTTACATAATTACACTGGCCTCCTTTTCAAAGAAGTAAATCAATGGATTGCATTCATTGTGTATATGAACTTCATTTTCAAAGTAAATTTCAGGATAATTTTTCAGATTCCTAACATTTATGTTTCTTATTATGGGGTTGATGAAGCACTTGCATTTATGCATGAGAAAACTGGTGTCTTCAATGAGGGATGTTTTGGATAGCTCATTCTTCAAAGAACTTGACTACCAACTCTAAATTAGAGTCAATCTTGATTACATGCATGCCCCTCTTAAAGGATAATGGTGAGACCTCTATAAATCTCCCAAATTCTCTATTTCAATACTAGCAGCATTCTTTAATTTTTTTTTTTTTTTTACCAAAATAGTCTCTCTACCATATCTCTTCATCCTTGAAGGAGACCTTCATATCATGCACTAGAGATGCTATGAAACAACATCTGATAGTCTTCATATGTATTGAGTTTTATTCTTGTTGTAGTTGGGAAACACCATTTGATTAGTCTCACTTGTCTAGCACTAGTGATAATAAGGTATGTTTAGAAGGTCTCTTGGATCTTAGTGGCATAGGAAATAATATCTCTTGTAGTTCCTTAAGTTTTTATATCCACATTTTGAAAAAAGAAATATTTGTCTTTCCAAATTTAGCATAGAGAAACAATAAAAACCAAACCAAATACTAGGGAGTATCGTTGTCATGAATGCTCGTATCCTTGGCCAGATGGAGGGGAGGTTGTTGAGGAATGGGTGGGAATGAAAATTTGTATTCAAAACAAGAAAATAAATTTTCTTTTTCTTTACTTACACAAAATTTGAAAATTTTTGCTATCTTTTAGTAACAAAGCAATTACCAAAAGTATTTTTGTTGCTAATTTTTATAATGTCTAAAAACCAAAAACGAAAACATAATCAAACGATAGAATTCAAAGAAAGTAAAACACACATAATTTTTTACTTTGAAGTAGATATTAGATATAACGGTGATATCATATAACAATATCACTAACTAATGAAAAATCTTATATTGTAGTTTTGAGGACTAATATTTGAGTTAATTAATGACAAAAGGTATCACATAATCCTATTTTTTATTTTTATTTTTTTTATTAGCCGATAACATGAGGCACAATGATGTCACCATTAAACTATATTTATTATCTTGGGTAAGAATGAGAAGGGAATAGCATATGCAACGCTAATAGCCTAGAGGGGCAATTTGTCCTCCAAAAATTGTCCATAGGGAAATTCTATCACAATTTTATCCCTTTACCCCTATTTTTTCATTACACTTTTAAAAAATAAATAAAATTCTCATTACACCATTTATAATATCAAAATTAACCCTAAATTAAACCATTTTCAAAACACTTACAGATTTTTCTTATTTCATCTATTCCTTTTGAATTACTCCAATATTATGTTCCGAACAAACTAAGTAGGTGTTTGGAAAGAACTAAAAAAGTGTACTTTTTTGCATACATACACTTATTTTAATCACATCAATCAACATCTCCTCTCTACTTTTCTAACTACTTCCTCTACTTTTCTATACATTTTTTTTTATAAAAAGTCAAAAAGTGCACTTATTTAGAACATCTCAAACCACCCCTAAATTTGTTCAGCCATCTTTTATCATTTTTTTTTGGGCAAATTACACAAATTGTCCCTATAGTTTAGGACTTGTATTACTTTGGTCCCTGACTTTTCAATTGTGCCACATTTGACTCTGAATTTTGAATCTTGTTTCAAATAAGAACAATTGAAGATATCATTAGATTTTTCAAGGGTAAAATTGTCAATTTGATAAAATATAAACTAAGTTGACCAAAATAAATGTCAAACAAATATTTTTGAATTTTTAAAAATTATTTCTACCTACTAAAAATAAAATTATGTAAAATTGATAAATCTTTTAGACATTTATTTATTTTTTTTATCAAATTAATTTTTGAAAAATGCTAGAGGTCCCAAATTTTCTACCAAATAAATGACCAAATGTCTCACATGGGTGTGGGGCCCACAAAATTACGGACTCCACACCCATGTGAGACATTTGGTCGTTTGTTTGGTAGAAAATTTGGTGTCTCTAGCATTACCCTTAATTTTTATTATGTGTTTGGATGATGATCATGCAAAATTAATTTTAAAAAATTAATCATGTAATTTTTATTAATTTTACATAATTTTATCATTGGTGAATAAAAATAATTTTAAAAAAATTAAAAATATTTTTTTGACATTTATTTTCGTCAAATTAGTTTATATTTTACCAAATTGACGAATTTACCCTTGAAAAGCCTAATGATATTTTCAATTATCCTTATTTGGAACAAGATTCAAAATTCAGGGTCAAATGTGTCACAATTGAAAAGTCAGGGACCAAAGTGACACAAATCCCAAACTATAGGGACTATTAATGTAATTAACCCTTTTTTTTTTCTTCTAAGTTTATGATGAACCCAATCGGTTATACATTACCAAACAATTTGGATTATTCCAATGTTATCTTGCCAAACAAATTAGATTTTTTCAGCCATCTGTTGCCGCACATTTACAGATTTACTTTTCTTAAAATATCAAAAATCCATAAAAACATGAAGTGTACAAACATTCATAAAATTTGTCAATACAAATATCTTTAAATTTGTTAATACAGACATTTATAAAAACACACTAAAATGTTATCACAATCCATCTATGTTGATAGTTTTGATAGTTACTACTTGAGAGCTGACAAACGTATGAAATTGTTCAATATAGGTAGTATATACTTTCTCCCATCCATTAGTACATAGGAGATGAAAACAAATCCAATTACTTCCTTTTAGAGGTGCTGGATGACTAAAAAGTTGATAAAGCTAACAAATCTCGTCTGTAATGAATTCATAACTATAGTCCATTAAAAATGCACTACTAAACTTACCACAATGAATAGAAGCATAATCCTTCAAAGCAGAAAAAATAAAAATGTTAGAAAAATGAAATCAAAATTATTTAGCTGTGAATTACTGAACATGTACTTTTTGTTCAATAGTAGGTTACTGAACAAGTATTTTTTGTTCGGCAATGGATTACCAGATATGTATTTTTTGTTCAGCAGTGTAATTCCGAGCTATTTGATTTTGTTCGCTTCCAGTGCACTAAACACAAATCGAACATTAAAAACAAAACGAAAACACAAAAAAGAAAAAAAAAATCACAATTTTACTTTTTTGTTAGTTCTTCATCATTATTATATTTATCCATTGCTTTATTTCATTATCAAAATACTATAATTCTCACTTTTTGAAAGTAAATATAGTAGAGAAAAAAAATGAGAAAAGAAAAAAAAAAAGTAAGGATTGAAGTATAATGGGTGTAAAGTGATAATCAAATCTATTTAATTTTTATCTTTTGTCCTTAAAGATAATTTCACACGAGTAAAATTGAAATAACAAAAAAATCTCAAATAAAGAGTGTAGAGAGATAAATGTGTTGTGTAGAATTTCCCTTGTCCATATATACCAAGATGGTGAAGAAGCCAGCAAAGGTACGTGGGGAAGCTTTTATTTGCATATCACACTATATTCAGTTCATATTATTTGTCATTTGGATGTTAAGTTCTAAATAAAAATTAATTATTCAAATATCAATTATCAAACAGTATTTTCGTTTAAAAATTGAAAATTTTTGTAATATGCGAATAAAACCTCCAACATGTATAAACATGAGTAACAAAAAGATGAAGAGTAAGAGCAATGTGAATTTATGGTATCTGCCCTCAATTTTCAAGATTTACATCTATGTGTGAAGTAAAAGTCACAGCTCACAATTCCCCCAATGACTTTCTTTTCAATTCAATTTTGTAGTTTTGAAATATGGACTTTAATTGTCCCCCTCTGATTGTTTTTTTCATTTTTTTTTTTCCTTTTACTTTGCAAAAAACACAAGAAATTATTTTTGATAAACTATTTTCGGTGAACGGTTGTAAAAATAATATACTTCCTAAGAAAAGAAGAGAAAAAAAATTCAAATTTCCAAAATGTAGAGAGTTCTCAAAACTTTATTTTCTTCCCAGAAAAATAAATAAAATAAAATACAAACGTGATACAACCAAAATAAAAGAAAATTCATAACAATCAAAAAATGGAAAAAAAAAAAAAAAGAAAAGAAAAGAAAAGAAAAGAAGAAGGTAATAGAAGAAAGGAAAGAATTTCTATTCCCTTGAATATTAACTTCTAAACAAAAATCAAATGTTCAGATTTCAACTTTCGTACAAAAATCAAAAATCAACTGTTCTGATATTTAACTCTTCTGTTAATATCCGAACAATTGATTTTTATTCAAAAATTGATATCCAAACAGCAAAATAGTGTGAACTGAAAATTTGTAGTGTACAAATAAAACCCTCCTAAAAGGGAAATAAAACGAAAGAAAGAAAAAAGAGGCCACTCATATCCTGTATCTTTCACCTTTCTATGGCAGCAGAATGTATCACTTCCTCATCCTCTGTAATCAGTGCAAGTATATCCTTCAAATCTCCCACTAAAAAACGCGGCAAAAACTGCGATTATCAAAGTTATTGACCTTCATCTGCGATTTACAATATATTGCACCCTGAGATTTGGGCTGTAATGTTCAGTGCAATGAAAACAAACATGGGCACATACATTTCCGGAACAAAAACTAAAACAAAAACAAAAACAAAAACAAAAACAAAAACAAAAACAAAATTCAGACAACAGTTTGAATAACATAACAGAGATTGACCCAAGAAACCAACACATTAAAAAGAGTTTTGGGCAGCAGTTGTATTCACAATATTGGTCTCTGTACAGAATTTCATTTCATGTGGCTGACGAAGAAGGTTCACCTTTTGAGGGGCTTATAGAGGACAACGGTTACGTACTTGGATTGGAACCTATGGGTTAGACCAAGAGCAACTACAGACTGAGATGCCCATCCCTTTTCTATGAAGAGGTGGTTAAGCACAACATGTTGGGCCTTTGAAGAAGAAGATGACGACGATGAAGAAGCTTCATCTGAATTTTGTGCACCAAGGACGGATAGATGTAGTTGGGGTGGAACTACAACTGGCTCCTTTGCAAAATCTTCATCTCCGGGAAAACCTTGACTGTAGCTGGAGTCTGGTGATGGTGGGGCCTCAAACTCTGCAACACCTTCAAGGTTCTCTGGCACATATCCCTGCATGAGAGAGAACAAAACATGAAGTTTGTAAAAGGGTAAGTTACACTGGCCTGCGCTCACAAATGAAGAAATTACGGTTACCCTCGAAGTTTGTGAAAAGTACACCGACCACCCCTCCAACAACTAAGAGGCAAACAGTGTTAACTGGGGAGGTGAAATGACCCTTTTTGGCTCTTGAGATATCTTTTATTCGTTATTGTCAAATGGAAAAACCTCACATCTGATATGAACTTGCAAAAATGCACTTCACATACACCATCTCCCTCAAATACCTCTCCAATGCCACCTCTCTCTCTCTCTCTCTCCCTCTCTCTCTCTCTCCACACACCAAAGACCATCACAACCTCCCTCTCCTTCTCAGACTACCACTATAGCCACTGATCGGCACTGCATTGCCACCCTCTCTTTCTCATTGTTGCCACCAATCAACATCAGTCCCCCAAAACCCCTTTCACTGCGCTCGCTTCTTCACCATCACCGTTGGTGGCCAAAACAACATATAAACACCCACCCACACCTCGAAGAAATTGGTATGTGAGACAATGGAATGTATATTTATATGCATATAGTTAAATATTGGATGTATAGGTACAATTTTGGTGGTGGCATATGTGTGTGGATTGGAGTGGTTTGGGTGACGGCAGGGGTTGATTTGGTGGTGGTGTGGACTTTGGGGGTGATTTGGGTGGCGGTGATCATTGTTGTCTTGGTGGTCGTGGAGACTGGGGGTTGGTTTGGGTGGCTGTTGGAGGTTGATTTGGTAGTCGTGGATTTCAGGTCGTGGTGGAGTCACTGCTACATAGGAGGTGGTGGAGATTAGGGTGGCCTGGGTGGTGATGGAGTCACTGTGTATGTGAAATGCAAATCCAAACGAAATGAGAATTATGGGCATTTTACTCAAAAATATTTTTCCTATGCATACATAGGAATTTTAAGATTTCATATGAGTGCACTAAAGGCAAAATAGGCAATTAAATAAATAAAATTGATGTCATTATCATATTCAGTTTTGTCATTAATAGTTCTCTAATGGCTTGGGACTAGGTTTTATGCCAATATAAATCTAAATCTAAATCTCTGGGAAGCACAGCGTACCTTTTGCAAACTTCGAGGGGCTGGACCCTAAACCCTCAGGTAGTAATTGGTTCATTGGAATGAATGTGGAATGGAATGATTATCCAAATAGAATATATGAGTTTGGCTCACTAAAAAAAAGATATAAAATGCATTGCAAACAGAATTATCATTAACCATTGTAAGACAATGATCATTCCAATCCATTTCACTTTCATTCTAGTAAACCAAACACTACCTTGAAGATAATAGCAAAGCAGAGGGAGCAAGGAAGCAAGCTTCTCTTTGATTAGAGACCGACACATGTATACAGTAGAAATATCCTAACAATGAAAGGATGGTATCTGCAGGTTAATTTAAGTTATAAGTAGAGAATAAAGTTAAAACAGAGGTAATCACTAGTTCCATTATGTTGATGTGACAGCGCCCCACTTAGTCGGCAGCTACTTGGCGTGCATACAGCCTAAAAGGGGGTCCAGGAGATGCAAACACATGACATATTCTATTATGCCAGCCACTGTGCTAACCTAACTTTTTCTACAAGTTATTAGTATCAACTGTTTTCTAGGAAAAAAAATAAAAAAAAGACATTAATATGAGATTATGTACTGCTTGACCATATTGAACTCTCCCACAAAACAATTCGTCATTAAGCAGAAAGCATATGTGGTGATTGGTAGGTACAAGTCCAATATACAAGGCAAGAATTGTTGCCAAAGGGTTTACTCAGACTTTTGGCGTTGACTATATCAGGAGACTTTTGACCCTGTGGCAAAGACAAATTTCATTTGTACCCATTATTTTCTATGCAGCTAATTTGCATTGGCTATTAGAAACTAGATGTGAAGAATTCATTCTGTCATGGTAATTTGGGGAAAAAAAGTATATATAGATGTGCCACCAAGATTCTCATCTCACTCTACAATTGGAAAGGTTTGTAGGTTGAAGAAGGCCCTTTATAGGTTGAAAGAGCCTCTCCAAACTTGGTTTGACACGTTCCTTACAGCTATGCTGAGGTTTGGGTACAAGAAAAGCAATGTAGATCGCACAAAGCTTGTTGAATGAGTCAAAGACAAAATTATAGTTCTTATTGTATATGTGGATGACATATTGGTGACAAGCAATGGTATAAAATAAATGCCTCAACTCAAGGCGAAGATAGCTAAGGAATTTGATATCAAACGTCTTGGTCCTTTCATAAGGTTGAAATTGCCAAATCAGATGAGGGGGTTTTCATTTCTCCAAGGAAGTACATTATTGATCTTCTTCATGAAACATACATGTTGAGTAGTAAAGCCAGTAGATTCACCAAATCAGGCCAATCATTCCCTTAGCAGTAGTGTTAGTGATTCTATATAAGGAGAGGTACCAAAGTCTTATAAGGAGACTCATATATTTGTTCCATATTTGACCAAACATTACATGTGTAGTGGGGGTTGTCACTCAATTTATGTATGATCCTCGTTCAGTGCATCTAGATGCCTCTACACAATTTTGTGATATCTCCAGTCAACTTCTAAGAAAAGGACCTTGTTCTCTAACCATGGTCACTTAAGATTTGAAGCAATTACTGATGCAAATAGGGCAGGCTCAGTTGATGATAGAGGACCTACTTTAAGCTATTGCACCTTTGTAAGAGAAATTTTGTCAATCTTTGCAACAAGAAATAGAGTGGTGGCTAGATCCAATGTAGATGTAGAATACAGGGTTATGGTTCATGGTAGTAGTGAGATTATGTAGCTCCACACTTCACTAGGAGACCTAGGAGTTTATTGTGGTGAACTCATGAAATTGTATTATGACAACCAAGCTGCCATTAATATTGTATATAATCTAGTTTAGTATGATCGAACCAAACATATTAACCTTGACTGACACTTTATCAAGAGAAGCTTAATAAGGGATTAATTTGTATGCCTATCGTGAAATAAGATCAATTAGCTGATGTTTTCATTAAAGATCTTAGTAGTAAGATTTTTTACCCCACTGTTTACAAGTTGGACATGAGAGATATTTTTGCATCAACTTAAAAGGGAGGTGCAATGTGTTATGTATTTATGTTTTAATTATTTGTTGGTAGCCTTACAAGTATTTGTGTACTTTGGACTACTTCAATACAACACATGGTTTTATAAAAAAGAACCCTAATTTTGGGGTGTGTATTTGCATTAACTGTACATTGCTTCTCCTTTCTCTTCTTCAATTCTTCTAATGTGAATCCAACTAGTTGATAAATTCAAAGATTACTTTACACTTCGCACCTAATTTGTCACAACCTTTACTGACTAATACCTAACCATCACCTAAGAAAATAATTACACTGGACTAGCTATACATAAATAAACCAAACCAAACCAAACCTTGAGTCCCATCAAATGGGGTCGATTACCTAAATCATTCTTCTCTACTCAACTCTATCACCAGCCATCTAGTTAGTCAAATTAAGGAGATTCATATCTCTATCTACTACACTCACCCATGTCAATCTATGTCTACCCTTTCCCCTAACACTTCCATCTACTGTCACTGTATCACATCTCTTCGCTATTGCCTCTGTTGGTCTCCATTGCATATGACCAAACCATTTCAATCTATTCTCTCTCAACTTATCTTCTATTAGTGCTACTCTTACCTATTCACAAATATACTCATTTTTGTCTTTTCTAGTCTTGCCACACATCCACCTTAGCATCCTCATTTTAACAACACTCATCTTATCTACATATTGTTTCTTAGTCGCCCAACATTCCGTCCCATACAACATCACTGGTCTAATAGTCGTTCTATAGAACTTTCTTTTTAGTCTAGTGGGTACTCGTTTATCACACCAGTGTTTTTAAAGGCTCAAGGCGCACTAAGGCGCCGAAGGTCTCTTGGAGCCTAGGCGCAAGGCGCAAGGCAAAGCGCGGGCTTTATTGAAGTAAGGCGCACAGTATTCGTAAAAAATAGAAAAATTAATATAGACTAATCATTCATAGTAGTAAAACAATTTTTAAAAAAATCAAAAGTAATCAAGATTTAAGACAAAATATAGAATAATTCTCAAAGCCATGAAAGTGCATATTACATAACATCCCAATTTTCAAAGATCAAATAATCCACATTCAATAAAATAAAAACATAAACACTAAACATCCAAAACATAAATATCCAACAAATATTAATATATGTCTTAACACTTAAAAACATCAATATCAAAAGAAAGGGTAGGTTAGGTCGGTGTTAGTCAATCATCATCCTCAACATCAATGGCAAGCAAACTATCATCTTCTTCTCCATCAGTTGATTTGTATCCCTCAACATCTTCCTCCTCTGTGTCATCTGAGCCCGCTTCCTCTCATCTATTAATTGAGGTGGAGTCAATGTTGATGATTTAGATATCCTCAGGCGGTTGTGCCTTTGAGCGTGAACTTGTTGCTCTACTTGCATGGCTACTTTCTTCTACTCCAGAAGCTCTAGCAACAGTGGCCCACGTCAAGCCATCATCATCATCAAAACAGGCTCATTATCTTCATTGATTCTCCATCCATCCTCCCAAGCAACCACTCATTGCTTTCATCAATATTTTGCAAAGATATGGGATCAAGAGTGTTGCGCATGTCATACCTAAATCTCAATGTTCTATTGTATTTGACATACACTAAATCATTGAGCGTTTCCAATCTATTTCTTTTCTTGCTATGAAGCTGCAAGTATTAAAAAGATATTAAATTCTATATAATGAGAATAAAAAATATTTGAATTCAAACAAAAATTAGTTAGAATGTTAAATACTAACATGTTCGAATACACTCTAATTTCGTTCACAACCCGATGAACTACATGTTAGGCTAAGGACTTTTATAGCAAAAGTTTGCAAGTTTGGAGTATAAGAACCATATGATGCCCACCAATCAGCTGCGATAATCCACTGTTAGAAATAATTGTTACCAAGTATTAAGTTTTACTAAAAATAAACTCTATGAGTCTATAATATATTACCTGGTGCTCTTGTATTTCCTTGCCAAATCGCAACAGCTTGCCAAAAAGACTCTCAGCCTTCATATAAATACTCATCTCATTAGTGATCAAATCTTAAACAGTGCATCCGGGACACACCTTTGCATGATTCATAAACCATTCATCACTTCATGATCTCTTTGCACCTCTAACGCTTTTGGGTAAAAGAATTCTGGGTTAAGAAAATGCGCAGCTGCATGTAAAGGTCGATGCAATTGGACATCCCATTTTTTTGTCAATGATTTCGAAGATTTCATTATACTTCTCTTCTTTATGATCAAATGAACTTGCAATGCATTCTTTTGCCCTATCATTGCCTCATAAATGTATCCCTGGGAGGTTTCTTCTCGGTATCAACCAATCTAAGCACTTTGACAAGAGAACCCGAGACCTTAAGGGCAAACACAACAGTATTCCAAAATGAAGGCATCAACAAAGTTTGTGCCATTCTTTTACCTTGTGGCTCCTTTGCCCATTTGCTTGAGGTCCAGTCTTCGGAGGTGACCATCTTTCAAATTGTTTTTTGTTGATGCTCCTAGAACAAAGTCAAAAAACGGTTGCAAATCTAGTTTTTGCAAGCTTGATCAAATTCTTCAAATTTGTATAG